CACCTGTCAACCCATCATCTACGTTTTAAGTCCCACATGCATTAGGTATTTGTCTTAATGCTCTCCCTCCTCTTGACCCCAACCCCCCGACAGGCCCCAGTGTGTGACGTTTCGCTCCCTTTGTCCATGTGTTCTCATTGTTCAACTCCCACTTATGAATGAGAACATGTGGTGTTTGATTTCCTGTTCCTGTGTTAGTTTGCTAAGGAGGATGGTTTCCAGCTTCATCCATGTCCCTGCAAAGGACATGAACTCATTCTTTTTTGTGGCCGCATAGTATTCTATGGTGTATATGTGCCACATTTTCTTTATCCAATCTATCATTGATGGGCATTTGGGTTGGTTCCAAGTCTTTGCTATTGAAAATAGTGCTGCAATAAATATAAGTATGCATGTGTCTTTATAGTAGAATGATTTATAGTCCTTTGGGTATATATCCAGTAATGGGATTGCTGGGCCCAATGGTGTATCTGGTTCTAGATCCTTGAGGAATTGCCACAGTGTCTTCCACAATGGTTGAACTAATTTACACTCCCACCAGCAGTGTAAAAGCTTAATTCTTAAACACTTCCGTTTCCAGCCATTAGGGCAAAGGATTTCTGGGTGTCTGACCTTGCCTTGGAGTATTACCTTCTGCTGAGTGAACTCCTCATTTGATGCAGTTGTTGGAACACCAGGAAGGATAGTGAGTTGGGATTGCATCAGGCTTACAGAGCAGGCATATAAATTGCTCTGTGCCTACTTGTTAATGACATTATGTCTGCATATGTGGTAAAATCAGATATGAGACTTGCTTTCATTATAACTTGGTAATGAGGTTGTAAGGCAGTAACTGATTCACCAATTTCAACTCCTTACGTGGCTATAGCTGTCTACCACAATCAGCCTAAGAATTGTGCATTACCAAAGTGGCTTGTGTCCGTTTTCAATACACTTCTAACATAACATGGCCAAAACAGAACTCTTTATTCACCACTACCCCTAACATGCTCTCCCCCAGGCTTCCTCTTCACAATAGATGGCACCTGTTTGCTCAGGCCTAAATGTAAAACCTTGCCTGAAACTTGCCTACACCTGTAGCCTATCCAGCAGGTTGCCTAGATCCTACCTTCAAAATATATCTTTTCCTTGTGCACTTTTCTCCATGTCTACAGGTCATCTCTCATCTCTACCACAATGGCCTCCTAACGGGGCTTACTATTTCTAGTGGCCTCTAGTCAATTCCTACAGAGCTTCCAGAGACAGTCTGTCAAATGTTAATGAGATTAGGTTGTCCTCCTGCTGTAACCCCTACAAAGTTTTCTATCACATTCATAACACAATTCTAGCATCTTGCCATGTTTTCTAAAACCCCTTGTGATTGAGCCCTGACCACTTCTCCAACCTCAACTTTTCCTACTCTTGTCTCACTTTATTCTGGTAATCTTCAATCTTCTCTCTATCAGCTTCTCAAACTTATTCCCACCCCAGTGCCTTCCCACCTGCTGAGTCTTCATCAGAAACGCCCTTTCCTTGCATCTGTGTTCACATGTACCTCTTCAGAAGGGGCTTCCTTACCAACCAGCCAGTCTAAAATGGCCTCACTATGGTCATTCTCTATCCTCTGGCCTGCTTACTTTTCTTCTTAACGTATATCTTAGGGAAGAATATTATTTATATCTGCATTTGCTAAATATATTGTGGTCTATTTCCTTCATGAGAACAAAAGCTCCATGAAGACAGAGACATTACACCATGTTAACAGTTATATCTTCAGTGAGAACAGTAGTGCTGGGCATCTAGAAAATAAATAGTCCTTAAATAGAAGTGAACTGAATGAATGTTTCCAATATTCCAACATATTTCTCTGTTTCTTTCATGCTATAATTTTCAAACACACTGCAATTGGAAGGACAATTGGGGAGTGAGCTGTCTCTTTGTGAGCTGTGCCCCTGTTCACCAATTCATTCTTGTAACTTATTCTTCTTGCATCCCTTCTATCAACAGTCCCTGTAGTAAGTGCTGAGGATGCAACTGTGAGCAAGCCAGACAAATTATCTGCCCTCATGGAATTTACAGTCCAGAGGGAGTCACAAACAGCAAACAAGAAAGTTTGTAATGAGAGTTATGTAGAAAATAATAGAAGACCAAGATAGAGAATGGCAGGGGACATTATTTTATAGAAGGTGGTTAGAGACAGCATCTCAGAAGAGATGATCTTATGCTGAGACCTGAAGGATGAGAGTGAGCAGGGTGTATGGTACAGTGCCTGGCAAGTGCAAAGGCCCTGAGGTAGAAAAGGTGGCTGACTCCTAGGGCTAAAAGACCTTACATGGCTAGAGAGCTGTGAGTGAAGGTGGGATCTGTGTCCAGGGACTGGGCATCCAGGGTTTACCCAAGGTGGGTTATATATATTCAATTATAAAACAATTATATATATATAACATATATAATATATAGGTTATAACTCATATTTTCAATTATAAAACAACTGAAATATTTTGGGTTATAGTAAAATTCTTATATTTTAAAAATTGCTCTGTAGGCTAGGTGGAAATGGATCAGGTTTCAGGCCAGAGTGAAAGCAGGGATGTTAACTAGAAGGCAGTTGAGATGCTCGAGCTAGAAATGGCAGAGGTTTGGACTGAGACAGTGGTAATTGAAAGGGAAAGACATCACTAGATGAGGGCTCTGTTTTGCAGGTAGAACAAGCAGGAGCTGGGAGAGAATGCAGCAGGGGTATCCAGGGCTAGATACATGAAAGCCCATCAATAAACATAGGACTATATTGTATCCTTAGGAAAAAAGGAGAAATAAGAATGTTTCCCAGATTTCTAGCTTTCATAACAGGAAGGAAGGACACTGTTGCTTTCTGAGATGGGAAAGACTGAGAGAGAAATAGCATTCATAGGAGTATTTACTTCTGATTTGAATATTTTAATTGTGAGATGGCTTCCACACATCGCGTTAAGTAAATATTTGAATATGCCACACCAAAGAGAGGAGAGTTCTGGGCTAAATCTAGCAGTTTAGGATCCTTTCAAATACAGAGGATGTTTACAGCTGTGGGAATAGATAACATCATCCAGGAAAGACTGGAGAAGTGAAGATATTCCAGAACGAGGCCTTGGGGAAATCTAACAGTCCTGGTCAGTTAGAAGAGGAGAGGCTTAGAAGGAAATAAGAAGAGTGAAATAAGAAGAAATCCAGGATAGTGAGGTATCCTGGAGACAAAAGAAGAAAACATTTCTTGTAGGAAGTTTGTCAGTTAAGCTGACTGCTGGTGAAACACAAAGAGAGAAGAGGAGGGAAGAGTGTAGATTGCATTTGGCAACACAGAGGTTGTTAACTTTGACAACAGTAGTTTCCGTTGAGTAATGGCAACGGAAGTCAGGCGTTAGTTGAAGAGTAAATTGGAGATGCAGAGAGTAGAGGAAGATTGCTTTTAGGAAGTTTGACTGTGAAGAGGAGCAGAAAAATATTGCAATAACTAGAGAAGTATGTGGGGTCAAGGGAGAACGTACCACTTTTTTTTTCTGATAGGAGACTAATGGGACTGTTTCAGTAGAGAGGGAGAGATTGTGTGGAAGAGAGGGGAGAGGTTTCGTTTAAAAGTCAACAGAGAATGAGATCCAAAGTAGAAGCAAAAAAAAAAAAAAAGGCTTTTGGTAGGAGGAGAGTTTTTATTTAATGGAAGTTAGGATGTAAAGAGTGCTTGCTTTTCTTATTTCATTGCTGAGGCCAACGGCTGAGAATAATAGATGGGAGTAGCTCTGCTTTCTGAAGCGAGGCAGTGCACCATTTAGGCAAGACCTGGAGAAAGACATTTTGCCCCCTTCACCCATCAACTAACTCCAGTTTTGTCTACTTAGCCCATCAGGTAACTTCAGGCAATATAAGACATAAGAAATACATAAGAAAGGCAAGGCGCAGTGGCTCACGCCTGTAATCCCAACACTTTGGGAGGCCAAGGCTGGCAGATCACAAGGTCAGGAGTTCAAGACCAGCCTCACCAACATGGTGAAACCCCATCTCTACTAAAAGTACAAAAATTAGCCAGATATGGTAGTGTGCGCCTATAATCCCTCTACTCAGGAGGCTGAGGCAGGAGAACTGCTTGCACCCGGGAGGCGGGGGTTGCAGTGAGCCAAGATTTCGCCACTGCACTCCAGCCTAGGCGACCAAGTGAGACTCCATCTCAAAAAAAAAAAGAAAAGAAAAATATGTAAGAGTTTATGAGAGAGCTGGTAGTGAGTGAGAGGCTTGGGAGATGGTCAGTTTGCTGTTCCTCCTGACATGAGAGAGCAGGGGGGCTTTCCTCCCTCTCCAAGCCAATCAGGAGGGCTTACCTGTATCTCTGGAGTCTGGTGCACTCAGAAACTATTGCCTCCCTGACTATACCTAAAAATGTCTATGGATGAAAGGCTGTGGGGAGTCATCAGTGGCAGCAGGGCAAACATTCATTGGGAATGGCCTGCACTTCTAAAGTCACCAGGACCAAATGTTTTATTTGGTTTTGTTTTCCTGTGGGTCACAAACCTGACAAAAGGTAGTGAGTCTTGAGATTTCTTGAAAGGCATCTTCCCAATAGGATGTTCTAGAGAGATGAGGTACCATCAGAGTTAGAGTCTGTGTCGATGGGCTGGAACCCAGGGGGTGTCAGTAGAACCATAAGAGACCCACTGGAGAGGACACTTCCCACATAAGGGAACTGCTGATAGGAAGCTCCCAGCGGGGAGACATGTGAGGGACCCACAAAGGAACCAATCAGGGAAGAAGTTACATTTGAGCTGTGACACACAGAGGGCCCCAGTACCGTGATACCAACACACCAGCAAAGAAAGATGGTGGCCTTTTCTCTGAACACTCTTCTCTGGAGATCAGCCCAAGCGGGAACCAGGAATAGGATTTAGACAGCAAGAAGGAGATAGAGAAGGAGAAGAAATGCAGAAGCAGGCAAAAAAATAAACCAATCTCATCCTCTTTCCTCATTGCAGGCTCTTGTACCTGAGTGAAAGGCCAGCAACTCTGTGGAGCAAAGCCATGGGGGCAGTTACATTGGATGAGAGGTTGAAGTTTTGACATCAAACTGGGTTTGACTTTTTAAATACTTTAAAAACCATATATATATATATATATTTTTTTTTTTTTAATTAAGAACAGAGATTGACAGGAGAAGTAATGATATACACGAGAGCCATCCTGGGGTGGGGAAGAACAATTCCACAGAGGGAGTGTAAATGGGCGAGAAGGAATCAAGTTGCTTTCTGCCTGCCCCTTGCTGATTCCAGCTTTTTCAATAAACTGGTTATGGTTTAAATTTGTTTCTATCTTAAAACTTTGTGATGTTTACATTGTTGCAGTCCAAATAAAACTTACATATGACAGTTTACAAGCACTGCTGTGATTCCTGGTCTATCATGTTGTAGACCAGGTTTATATATTTAAAGGCATCCACATGCCTAGCAGGTAGCAAAAATGGATGAGGCAGGTGAGGAGCAATAGAGAACAGTGAGGACTGGAGAATGCCTGGCCTTTAATGTTTTAACAACCCTCTTTGGGTCAAACAACACAAATATGCAAACTACAAATGACTTTTGTGTTAGATATACAAAAGTATCTTCCCCTACCCAGGCCTTTGTAAGCCTACATTGCATTAAGTGTGGCTGTGGGAGGGGACAGGGAACAAGGCAATATGACATGCCTCCGCCTCACACACACATACTGTGATGATGCCGCTTACTAGAAAAGTGCAGAAATATTCTGAGATTTCCCAAATCTATAATTTATGATTCTTGTCAGCATTCTAGTTACACACAGGAAAGCATCAACCTGTCATCTGAACGTTGACAGGAGAATAGATGAGAGAAACAGAGACTGTGCTTCTCAAAAACTCCTCTTCCCATCACAGGCCAGATCCTGGTAATGAACACCAACGCCAACCATTGCTTTACCAAGGAAGCCACTTTTTAAAAGGCTTCAGTTCAATTCATTCAGTTTTTACTGAGTGTCTAGGACATACGAGAAAATTTTAGGAGGTCAGCTTTGACCAGAAGAAACTGTACATTCTTGTATACAATCTTGTCATTTAGAATTCTGCCTGAGTAGCAATATACTAGCCTGAAGCAAAATATCCTGTCAGCAAATAAGAGATCCCTCAACCTAAAACAAAACATATGCGGGAAATAGAGAAACAGAATTTCAGAATGTGAATAATCATATGCGAGAGAAAAGGAGAAGTAATTGTATTTCATTAAATGTTTGCTTTCTAAATGATTCCCTAAAAAGGAACCGAGATTCATTTCTTTACATTATATTTGAAAATGCCCCAGATTCTTACATTGGAAGAGTCCTCAAAGGCTATCCAGACAACATTCTCACATGGGAGAGTTGCTCTTTAAGGTAGGACCCCCTTCCGGATGGTTCATCTCACGTAAGCTTTTTCACTCATGATGATCAGAACCAGGTTCTGGCACTGTGAGCTGTCCCAAACCAGATGCAACTAGCTGATGGAATCTAGAAAGATCTATGGTGCTGGACAAAGTTTAAGGGCCTGGTCATACAAGATGCATGGATCTGTATCTGAGAATTGGTCTATAATCAGGAAGTAACCGTGGTGGTAATGATGGGTGAAAGGACAAGGGAGGCGGAGGTAGCATTGGACAAGGGCCTAACTAAATCTTGGAAGTAGTAGTCTGCTCAGGCCAGGGCGGGACATCAATAGACAACCAGAGTGGTTCTAGTTGAGAGAGATGACTGCAAGAATCAGTAAAATCCCTGAAGACCTGAGAACAAGGCAAGGACTCAGAATTAGGGAGAAGAGTCTCTAAGAACACAGTAATGTCTGTAACAAGAGTGTCCAGAAGACAAGCCTTGAGCAACTGATAGACATCTCTGTGTCCCTTCTTCTGAGTCAGTGCTGGCCTGGGTGGCATTTGCCTGCTGGTGTACATTGTTTTATCATCTACATACATTGTTTTTATCATCTAGAAGAAGAGAGATATGAAACATAATGTGCCCTGTTCCCTTGACAGGGGACTGTGAGTTTCCATCCATGATAGGCTAAATCTAAATTTTGCAGAATTTTCCTTAAATTGAATGGCTTCCTCTTCTTTAATTATTTTCTTCTTTTGATTTTCATTATGCCACCTTCTCCTGGTTTTTATCTTATATGATTGGCCTTCTCTTTTACTGGCTCTGCTTCCTCTAACTGGTCTCTAAATGTTAAACACTTGTAAGGCTCAGTTTTGAGGTCTCTCTTCTGTTTCCTTCCATTCCTACTCACATGGCTCATGTCCCATCTATGTGTTGATGATTTCCAATTTTTGTTGCTCTAACCAGGACCTCCTCCCCGAGCTCCAGACTCATGCATCTAACTTCCTACATGATACATCCACGTGTGAGTCAAATTGGAATTTCAATATAATATATCCAAAACATAACTGTTAACCCTCTCTGTTGTCTACAACCTGTTCCTCCCACTCTTTCTCTATCTTCTCAAATGTCAGCACCATCCAATGGAACATTTAAGCCAAAAACCTAAGAGTCCTCCTTCATTCCCCCTTTTCCTCATGGCCCCATCAACATCCAATTCCTCAGCAAATCCTGTGATTTTTATATATTAAATGTTTCTGGAACCAATCCATTTCTCTCTACCACATTACCACTCTACTCCAATCTACTTCCTCTGTCCTCTCGAATACTGTTCTGTGTAAACTCCCACATACTCTGTTCTGTACTCAATAGCCAGTGTGATCTTTTGAAAGTATAATTTAGATAATTTGCTGCCTGAACAAGTCCCGCCCATGCAAAATGTACATAGTAATCTCCCATCACAATCAAAATCCAGAAAGCCTTTTCTGAGCTTCCTCTGCCTACCCATCCAATTTCATCTTGGTACTACGTTCCCATTCACCTTCCCTCAGCCACACCCTGCTCTCTTGCTACAATAGCTCAGCCTCAATCCTGACCGAAGGCCTTTTCACTTGAGTTTACCTAGCCCAGAAAGCTCTTTCTAAAATTGGCTGGCTCTTGTCATTCTGATCTCAAAATGTCTCCTCCTTGGAAGGACTTCCCCAGCACCCAGCCTAGAGAGCTCTGCCCCCGCCCTCACATTCCCCCTTTGGTCTTACTCTTTTTCTTAATATTACATTCCTTTCCCCACAGTACTTGTCAGTGTATAAAGTCATTTATCTTGTTGATTATCTGTCTCCTCATCACTAGAATATGAACTCCAGGAGAACAGGGACCTTATCTATCTTGTTGCTTGTTAGACTCCTATATTAGAAAGGAGGATACTAAATATGAGTGTTTAATGATCATTTATTGAGTAAAAGTGAACTCTACCTGCATATAACTTCCACTCATTGATCAGCTGCAGGTATGTTCAATAAGTCTATTATTTATTTAATGTGACGACCCTTTCAATATTTGAAGGAAGCGTTTATTATGTATGCCAATATAGCTCTGTGTATGTGTATGATGTCTTTCTCCTGACTAAATATCTGCAAGTATTTAAATTAATCCTCATATGAAAGAATTTCCAGATACTTCACTATCCAGGTCACCTGCCCCTGGATAAACTCCAAAAGAAGACTCTCCAAAGTTAGTTCCAATGGTGTCCAAAAATAAACTGAATGACACCAAATATAGGTAGTGGAAAAAATGCTTTCAGGCTGAGATTAACAGCCGACTTCTGTTCTGGTCTGAAGTATTTTTCTGTAATGCAGAATTTAAGCCATAGAAAATATTAAAAGATTTTATTTTCTCTTTTAGAGCAAATAGTTCTCTCCCACAGCCCCCAAGCAATCAATCTTAGACATGTATTATTTACTTTCTTGCTTACTCCTTCCTGAGCTCTGATCTAAGAGAGGCAGACTAGAAGAAGACAGGGTCTCTGCTGGTATTTTCAGCCCTTGGCTCTTCTCTGAAGTTCAGATGTGAACCTCCTGTTTCCTAGTCAACACCTTCCCGGTTGTTTCACAAACACCTCTTATTTCAACACCTATCCCAAATTAGATTTTCCTCTCCCTCCCCCAGCCTTCTCTTCTCTGTTCTTTCCAATGCCTGTAAATGATACCGCCATCAATCCAGTCATCCAAGCTCCAAACCTCAGAGCCATTTTAGACCTTTTCTTTCTTGATACTTGGATCCAATGAGTTTTCAACTCTGCCAATTTTACCGTTTCCTTCACCTCTATTTTCACAGCACTAATTCAGGCCTTTATAACCTCTTATTTGTAGCCTCCTGAACTGGGCGCCTGTTTTCCCACCCCTGCCTTGCTTCATTTAAGTCTTATCTACATTGCAGTCATGGGCACTTTCAGTACAACTCCATTACGATGGAGCGCAAACACCTGGCATGCTACCTGAAGCCTCCTTTTGCCTGACCTACCTCCCTCTGGTAATCTTTCTTGAGTAGCACTTAATTCTAAGAAAACAAAGTCAAGAATTCTCCCTAAACACCACATACGCTTGTCTTCTATGCCTTTTCTTTTCCCCTCTACCTGGACTTCCCTTCTCAACTTTCTTCACCTTTCTAATACCCTCAAGGATTAGAGGAACAGCTGCTTCTCTGGGGAGCCTTTCTGACCCGCTACTTGGGCCATAAACCCCTCTTTTCTGCCAAGACAGGGCCCAGCATGATTTCTTATCTAAAGCACCCAACAGGAGCTATTGAAATTATTTGTTTTTTATATCCTCACAAGGCTGCAAGCTCCTTAAAGTCAAAACAATTCTTATTTATCTTTGTACCTCCGCTGTAAGACCTAGCTAAGTGGGGAGCACATAGTAGGTATTTCATAAATATTAACTGATCCAAAATATCATTTAAGAGGCTGAAACTTAAGTCTAGATAAGGAACTCTTAGGCCTAAAATAATATCAGAATGTCCCTACATTACAAAATACGAGTGTTTCTAGTTCTTCATCATTCACAGTTCCTGATATTTCACATCTTGTGTTCATGAAAAAATAAAATTTTTCATGCACCAGCAGCAGAATTCGGGGGACTTAGGGTGGTTAGTGGTGCAATTATATGCTATCTCTTACCTTTTTATCTTTGGCCAAACCTATTTTAAATAGTATGGAGGGCAAGACATATGTCCAAGGCCAAGATGATGAAGTTTCCTGTGATTTAAAAGCAGCGCATAGTTATTAGACAATGGAGACTCCATTGTGCTATTGTTATTTATGTACATCTCTTAGTCCCTACTACAATGCTTCCATCTGGAAGGCAAGGCTTGGGGCTTATTTAGCCTTGAAACTATTACACTGTCCATCGCAATGTCCCAAACAGAGGATGATCTCCATCAATGTGTATTGAATTGAGTTGAGGCTGCCAAGTGGAAAGGAGCTTCATTGAGACACCAATTTGTTTGTGACAGTCATGGAAAAATATGTAGCAACCATTTCTTTCTCTTTGCAGTGAACTTGCTTGTCAAATGCCTCTTTAAAAAGCGAGTGAAGATAATTGCAAGTCAGCTGGAAGTGCTGCCAAGATATGACCTCCAGGAAGGCCCAGAAGACAAGTGATATTGTGTGGACTGCTACAGCGCAATGTCTAACTGATTCAAAATGAAGAATCAATTTGAAATTAAGATGAGAAAAGGCATCCAGCACTTATATTATAGCAAAAAACATTGTCACCAGGCCCTGGGAAAGATGAGACCACCTCCCTTCCCTTCTCAGGCTCCCTTTCCCTGTCAGACTGTAGCTCTTAAAGGCTGTCATCCTCCAAGGGTATTCCCTAAGTACAGCATAGCATCTCTGTTAGCCTTTGAATTCAACAATATTGATCTCCTCCAACATTTTCATTCCTTTAGTCAAAAGTCAGCTGTCAAACGCAAGGCACAAGTGCAACTTTAAGGAATTCATGGCCAATATTTGTCATGTCATTTCATGGATTGTCTGCAGGCACATAAAACATACAATGAGGATACTGATCCAAGATACATGGCACACAATTAAATTGTGAAAAAACATGACTCTGAGTCCAGAAGTTCTTATTTTTTTGCAGTCTTCAGAGTATCGTATAGGCCCCTTGAAAAATAAATTTGCAGAGTGTGAATGTTAATTTACTTTCACCTTCAGAAAACAGATTTTCCACATTTATAAAAGAGAAATAGTGACTATTCTAGACAATAGAGCCCAGCAAGAATACTCAAACTAGTATAACCCTATTTCTCTATACCACAAAGACATCTTGTAGGCATGTTCCTCTGAAGGACTTGACTTGAGAATTATGCTTTTTTTCCTCCTTTTCTCTCTAAAAGCAAAAAGCACCATAATCTTGCTGTAGTATAATCAAAACAGAGCCCGATGTGAAAACAGAGCCTTGAGTTTTCATCCTTCATTTGTTACTTAAAAGTTGACATAAGAAAAATTATTTAACTTCTCTTAACCTCAGTTTCTTATCTATAAAATGGGATTATAAAATGTATCTCACAAAGTAGTTATGAGGATTAAAGGAAATGGAAAACATGCTTATTTGGTTTTGAATCCTGGTTTGGTCTAACTATCAATAAAACTCATTAAGATGGAATGTTCAGGTATCCTCAGCATTTTGTTGTTGTTTCCAATTACTGATGATTAAAACATGGAGTAAAATATCTGTGGCATTTCTGAAAAACTGTGAGCCCATCACAAATCATCTAAAGCTCTGCTTTCATACAGGTGAGTCAGAGTTCAAGCCAACAAGCCAAGGAGAGACCTATGCTGCTGCAGCTTTCTTGCTTCTCAGAACCAACAGCAGCAGCAGCACCTAACACCTAGCAAGCAGGCACTCTATGCCAGGTGCCAAGCTGTGCACCTTATATTCATCCTCTCCCCTCATCCTCAGCATGACCTCAAGAAGCTTGAGCTCCTCCACACAGAACCATGTCCCCCAGTGGAGGCCGCACATATGGCCCAGGCAGACCACAGGCAGCCTGCTTTCAAGAAGAAGGCTTGTTATTCTAAAGCTGAACCCTGAAGGATGCGAATTAATGAGCAATCTGTGTCCCTAGCCACCTTGCTTCATTTTTATAGTATAGTCTCTTGATCTGTTGCAATATCAGAAGAGGCCTCTCAAACATCCATGTTTCTGCTATGTTGCCTCTTCCACAATTGCCAGGGTGATCTTCTGAACCCAGGCCACCCATGGAGCTGGGAAGGTCTCTGGAATCCTGGGCCTTTGGTCTCTCCATCCTCTGAGTGCCTGCGGCCCTTGGCAAACAGCACTGTTGCTATCATGCCTTCTCTATCAGGAGAAAGAGAGGTTCTGGAAGGTAAGAACTACCCCTTGTTGATCATTGTATCTAGTGGAGTGCATGGGATGATGGCAGGGGCTCCTTCCACATATGTTCTTTTAGGACAATGATTCTCAACCCTGGATGTACACCTACAATTACCTAGGAAGTTTTTAAAAATACATATCCAAGCCCATGCCCAATCATAGTCAATGGAATCAGACTCTCTAGGCATGAGGATGGAGTCCCAGGTAACCCTAACATATTAACAGGCCTGAGATCCACAGTATTTTTGTGTATGTCTGGCTCTTCTCCATCCCCTTGGCTCCTCTGACCCATTTAAGAAGTAAAACTGGCCTGCAGCCAGCCCCTTCCCCTCCTCTACCTCACTGGGGCCCTGCTGGCCTGCAGCGAGCCTGCCTGCTCTTCTTCTAACCAGGCCTCCAGATAAGTAGTCTGTGCTCTGCCCTCATGAGTAAGCCCTGCAATCCTCTGTCAGCTCTGTGTCAGGGCAGGTGGGCCTGTTTGATTCCAGAGCTCACTCTTAGGAAACCCATTATTATTGTAGCCTAAGCCTCATTCACCAGTATTTGTTTTCAGTAATAAACTTGACATTTATATCTCCATTTGCTTAACGTCCCCCTACCTCATCAATGGATTTAGAATTTAGGAAGGGGAGAGATTTATTATCAACCTCAAACTCAACAGCATCCTTTTTTTTTTTTTTTTTTTTTGGCCTGACATGCATAGGCTGTAATAGGTGCTCAATAAATATTTGTTGACTGAATCAATTTCCTATGCACTTCTAGTAATATCCATTCTCTAAATTTCGGTCTCACTTTTTCTCTGTCTCTTTCTTGCACAAGCTACAGATGGTATAAATGCTGCAGTCCTTGGGAAGACTGAAAAAGCAGTCAGACAGATGTGTTGTTCATAGCTCCCTAGTCAGGCATAACTAAACATTTACATTTATTACCAATTAGAGGGGAAACAGACTGTAGTTTTATGCACTGTATGTGGCTGGATATATTTCTTTTTGGGATCTCACTAAAAATTTTAAAATGTACCATTGGATCTCACTCTTTTACCAGCTCAAACCTCATTGAAAACACCATTTAAATAGAGGTCTACCAATGACAGCACAAATCTGTTGCATTCTCCTACCCAAGCACAAAATACCATGGAGGTGGAAAGGCAATGCTGCAGAGAGGCAACTGACCCAGTATGATTGAGCTGAACCTCCTTCACTAAGACTTTGTGGCCATGCAGAACTGATGAAGTTGTGGTAGACTATGTTGAAACTATGCTGTAAAGTTGTTGATGGCACACAGTGTGCAACAGTGCTTGTGGACACATAGAGCTTTGCTGTATGTGCAGCCCTTTTTCCATTTAGGACAAAATAGTGTGAGTGGACATAGTACTCGACAGGACTGTGAAACCATTGGTTCCACAGGGTTTCAGACCCAATGCTAAAGAATTCACTGTGTTTAGCTGAGTTCCATCTAACCTGGTATCCATCTTACATCTAAAACACTGACCCAACCCCATGAAAAAATCGAAGGAAAACACTGGCTAAGGTATAGGTAACCTGAGCTCTGGTTTCAGCTCTTACTAACACAGCTTCTTCACTTGCAAAACCAGATGATTGCTTTGAGGAACTTTGCTGAGGAAATCATGATATTTAATTACAGATTTATATACTGTATAAAAATTTCATCCTATGTTTAGTAACAACAAGAGCAATTTCAAAACAACCTAAAGGTCAACAATAGGGTAGAGACTGGAAGATACATTGTAGAGAAATCAGATGAATCACATAACTGTTAAAAACCACTTTGCACCCTCTCTAATGGATGTAATGAATGGCTATGATGAAACACAAGCAAACAAATGGAAATTAATAAATTCCGGTGAGGATGTGGAGAAGTTGGAACCCTCATGCATTGCTGGTACGGATGTAGAATGATAGAGCAGCTGTGGAAACACTTTGGTGTTTCCTCAAAAAGCTAAAAATAGAATTACCATATGATTCTGCATATTTCACTCTAGGTGTATACCCAAACGAACTGAAAATAGACACTCAAACAAGAACACGTATACATATGTTCAACACTATTCGCAACAGTCAGAAGAAACAACCCAAATGTCCGTTAATGGATGAATGAATAAATAGCGGTATATACATACAATGGAATATTTTTCTGCCATAAAAAAGAGTGAGGTACTGATACATGCTACAAGGTGGATGAATCGCAAAATCATTATTCCAAGTGAAAAGTCAGACACAAAAGGTTCACATATTGTATGGTTTCACGTACGTAAAATATCCAGAATAGGTAAATCCAGAGACCGGATGCAAATTGGTTGTTTCCAAGTGCTACCAGAAAGAAGAATGAGGAAAAACTGCTTAATGGGTATGGAATTTTACCTTGGAGTGATAGGAATGTTTTGAAATCAGATGGAGATGATGGTTGCACAACATTGTGAAGGTAGTAAATGCCACTAAACTCTTCACTTTCAAATGGTTAATTTTATGTTATGTAAATTTCGCCTTACATTATTTTTTAAAATCATGGTTTTTAAAGAATATTTACTGACAAGGGAAAATTCACACCATGTACCTATTATTAAAAACTGGGGCCGGGCGCGGTGGCTCAAGCCTGTAATCCCAGCACTTTGGGAGGCCGAGATGGGCGGATCACGAGGTCTGGAGATCGAGACCATCCTGGCTATCACGGTGAAACCCCGTCTCTACTAAAAAATACAAAAAAACTAGCCGGGCGAGGTGGCGGGCGCCTGTAGTCCCAGCTACTCGGGAGGCTGAGGCAGGAGAATGGCGTGAACCCGGGAGGCGGAGCTTGCAGTGAGCTGAGATCCGGCCACTGCACTCCAGCCTGGGCGACAGAGCGAGACTCCGTCTCCAAAAAAAAAAAACTGGACTTACAATATGATCTCAATTTTGAAAGATTAAAAATGTACATGTGAGTTTGTGCATATATACATACACACACACACACACACACACACACACACATATATATACTCATCCTCCTCCCCTCAAAGAATACTGAAAAGAAATTAAGAACTCTAATATTTGAACTATAGGTTGTTTCATTTTCTTATTCCTTAAAATGAACATATGTTAATTTTATAATTTGAGGAAAAAATCAATGTTATTGAGTAAGAATTGGGTTATAAGAACATCGCTAAAGTTTTCTCCGGCTCTGCAGTTCTAGTAGTCTCAACATGTTGCATTTTCCAGAATACCTATTAGATGCTGGGCAAGAGGGATAAGCTTTTAGAGTGGACACCTAGGAAATGATGATTTAAGGCAGGCAGGCAATGTTGGAGTACAGAGACATTTAGAATACAAACATTTGTATAGGCAGTCTGTATGCATAACTTTTGCCCTCATCACACCGGCCGTAAGTGATGCCATTAGAAGAACATACATATCCATTATTCAGCTCATGGCTCATTCCCTAATGGCTCCTTTAAGAATAATGTTTTCAGGGTAACAGGCATGGCTTTCATATTCAATCTTTTCATAATGCATTCATTTCAAAATAAAATACATACACCTGTCCTGCACAACTACCCAAGCTGAATTCTTTCTAGATAAATTAAATTGTTTGGTTTTTTATTTACTTTCTTTTTCTTAAAAATAACATTCTCCAGCTGATGTATTCCAATGGGTGGCTTTCTAAAATGATCAGCTCCTGTGTGGCTTGTGGGAAACTGAAAATTTCACCATCCTTGATTCTACCTACCTCATCCTCTTCCTATTACTCCATATCAAAGGGACATTGAGGCCGGGCACAGTGGCTTATGCCTGTAATCCCAGCCCTTTGCAAGGCCGAAGCGGGTGGATTGCTTGAGGTCAGGAGTTCAAGACCAGGTTGGCCAACATGGTGATCCCGTCACTACTAAAAATACAAAAATTAGCCAGGTGTGGTGACGGACACCTGTAATCCCAGCTACTTGGGCAGCTGAGGCAGGAGAAATGCTTGAACCTGGGAGGTAGAGGTTGTAGTGAGATGAGATTGTACTACTGTACTCCAGCCTGGGCGACAAGAGCAAAACTCCATCTCAGCAACAACAACAACAACAAAAGAAAGTGACACTGAAAATATGGAGAATTAAAAAGTAGAATTTGACTTAGCATTTACAAAGTCTGTGTACTTTACTCCATATTCACAGTTTTGTTTTAATTTTTAATTTTTATGGATACATAATGGTTATATATA